GTCCATTCATCTGTGGGTGGACGCCCGGGGGGCTTTCACGTCTTGGCTATTGCTAGTAACACTGCAATGGCATAGGGGCGCACCTTTCTCTTCGAATTCTTGTTTTGGATTTCTCCAGATGGATGCCCAGAAGTGGGATGGGTGGGTCGTGTGTAGTTCCAGGTGTAATTTTTTGAGGAATTGCCATACTGATTTCCATGATGGCGGCACCAGTCTGCATTCCCACCGCCAGTGCACCAGGGTCCCTTTCCCCACATTCTCACCAGCATTTGTGGTTGGCTGACTTACTGATGAGTGGTCTGCAGCCCTTGAAACCTGCAGGGGAGCACTCAGGAGTCCCAGCGCCCAGTCACACCCCCAGGAATTCCAGTTCTGATTTAGCTGGGGTTTTATTTGATTACTAGAGGCCCAGTGCATGAAATTAATGCACTGGGAGGGTCCCTAGCAGTTGCTGGCTGCCAGCTGGGTACTCCCTCCCTTCCCTCGGCTGGTCCTGCCCCCTGGTTCAACTCCTGGGACAACTCCTGGTCGAGGGGACAATTTGCATACTATGCTTTTATTATATAAGATAAGTGCTAAATGACAGGGAAGAGAAGGACATCACTGACTAAAACAATAATACCGTTTCACTAGGTAGACAAAGTGGCACCGGGGCCTCCCTCCCTTCCCCTGGCCAGCCCTGCCCCTGGACAACTCCTGGTCGAGGGGACAATTTGCATACTATGCTTTTATTATATAAGATAAGTGCTAAATGACAGGGAAGAGAAGGACATCACTGACTAAAACAATAATACCGTTTCACTAGGTAGACAAAGTGGCTGCCTGTGCCTTCTCTTTCCCATAAATGAACAGGGCTGGGATTTGCCTTCTGAAGCATGCCACTTCAAGGAAAACATCGACACTGGACTGATTATTTTATTTTGTTTTTGGTCACTATATAAAGAAAATAAACACAAAACACATTGTAACCATGTATTTACTCTGCCAAGTGCCAATATTCCAATAAAATGTTCATTCTTGGAGAAGGGTCCAGATGTCATATTTATTTGGGTTTGGGCTAGTTTCATCTTTTCTAGCACATGCCATGACTTGAGCTGGGAGGAACAGCCCTCAGAGACGGAAGGTGAGTCACAGTCACTGTATTACGGAACTTTTAATTTTCTGTCATCGGGAAGAAATCCACAGGGAAATCACTTACTAGTCATGTCAGATGTAATTACGCTTTGAAACTGCATACGCTTATTTCTCTAGGAATTAGATTATGTCTAAGTACAGCAATGGGCAATTACTCTTGACGTAATTGAAATGCTGTTCAAACCAATTTATTTTCAGCAGGTAACCCTGAGTGAAACATTCATTCTTTCTATGCTTATAAGCAACACAATGTTTACTCACCAATGTTGACAGTTGCTCATTCATCCATGAATCCACTTCACCCTAAATATAATGATTGTGTTTCTATCGTATGCAGGCACTCTAGTGGGTGCTGGACAAACAGAGGTGAACATGGCGGGTGTGATCGCTACACCTCCAATTTGCAGGGTGAACGTGGCGAGGGAGAGCCCAAAAAGGTATTTACTTCCTTGCCTGGCATGAACCTTGTCTATAATCTCAGCTTTAATTCTATCTACACCAACAGCTTCAGACAAGAGAGGAAGGAACACTGGAGAAATCAAGTCCAGGGGAGCTGGAACACTCAGTGTGGCATAAACTTCCCCACTCCTCTCCTCCTTCCACACCAAGCATCCAGTGGGCAGGAGCCATTCCCAGAGCGGCTCCCCCACAACTTCTGTTTAGGGCCAATAATCAGATTGGAACTGGAGGTGAGTGGGTTGATTTGGAACTACTTCAGCGTAGTTTTTCTTAGATTATATGTTTACGTGGTATGGCTGGGATGGGACTGATGGAGGTCTTGAGAGGAGACAGCTAAACCTGTATGCCAGTGTCTGTAGTTGCCATGTTAATAATTGTCAAGAACTAGAAAACAACCCATATGTCTTTTTTTTTTCAAATATATTTTATTGATTTTTTACAGAGAGGAAGGGAGAGAGATAGAGAGTTAGAAACATCGATGAGAGAGAAACATCGATTAGCTGCCTCCTGCACATCTCCTACTAGGGATGTGCCTGCAACCCAGGTACATGCCCTTGACCGGAATCGAACCCGGGACCTTTCAGTCCACAGGCCGACGCTCTATCCACTGAGCCAAACCGGTTTCGGCGAACCCATATGTCTTGTGGTACGTCCATATGATAGATTACTACTCAACAATAAAAAGGAATGCTCTGCTAACATAGAGGGTAACATACATGAGTCTCAAAATAATTAAGCAGGGTGGAAAAGGCCAGACCAAAAAAAAAAAGAAAAGATGCCTACTATATACTTCCTTTTATATGACATTCTGGGAAAGGACAAATTTAGAGATAAAAATAGATCATCAGTTGCCTGCAGCTGGAGGTCAGTAAGTTGGGGAGACTGACTGTGGGGTGGCATGTAAGGGAATTTGGGGGATGAACTGTTCTAGATCTTGATTATGGTGGTTGCTCTGTGACTATATCCATTTGTTAACACATAACTGTATCCTGAAAAGGGATTCTTTGGGTGCATTTACTCCTGTCTTTAGGCCCGTATAGAATTGAGAGTGACACAAAGCCAAAAGGGAAAAGCCACTAGAAATGGTCGCCAAGGTAAAATTGGTTCCCTAAAATAACCATTTGATGAGTACTGTTCTGCAGGGCTCTGCTGCTCCTTTGAAGTTCTGGTCTGGACTCAAATCTTTTTCCCCAGAATTCTGATAATGATGCCTTGGCATCTGCCAGACCATCTTGCTGGCACTGTCTTCCCAAGGTGGAGAACCAGGCACACACCAGGGCATGGCAAGTGCTGGCAGACTGCCCAGTGGGGGGTGAGGAACTCCTAGCCTCTACTTCCAGTCACGTGCTACTGAGGAAGCCCCCAGGAGGTCTAACATGAAAGACAACTTCGTTTACTTAAGGCCATTACCGCTTGCTTGACATGCCTTAAGAAATCACAAATATGAGAGAGATCACACTCATTAAAGCACAACATGACATGCGGGGCGGGGTGGGGGGGGAGGGAGGAGAGACACAACATCTGGTTAAATGAACTCTGAAAAGCCTAACTTTAAAATCTTTCTTCTGAATATCCTTTGATGTATAAGCCTTTTATTTTTTTGATTCTTTGAAAAATAGTGGTTTCCAGATCAAAACCACAGATAGAAACTTTCTCTAGGTGGGTAAAAACCACCTGAAAATTGCTAGACTCTGTTAAAGGGGATGAGATTAAACACATTGACACAAAGCATTTTATTTTATTTTTAAATATTTTTTAAAATATATTTTTATTGCTTTCAGAGAAGAAGGGAGAGGGAGAAATGGAAACATCAATGATGAGAGAGAATCAGTGACTGGCTGCCTCCTGCACGCCCCCTACTGAGGATCGAGCCTGCAACCTGGGCATGTGCCCTTGACGGGAATCAAACCTGGAACCCTTCAGTCCGCAGTCCGGCGCTATATCCACTGAGCCACACTGGCTAGGGTGACACAAAGCATTTTATATAAATCTCCGTGAACAAGACAATCTCATAATTACTCTTTAAAATTTAGTAAACCCATAAAAATTGGAGAGCCACTCCTTTAAATGAAATATTTTTCATTCTTAGTTATATAACCATTATCATAAAAGCAATAACTTTGTTCCACTTAATTAAACAGATACTGATGCCCCAACTGGGAATCACACTGTGACCTCCTGGTGCATGGGCTGACACTTAACCACTGAGCGATATAGGCCAGGCAAAACCACTTCTATTTGACTAGTATACCTGTCTCTTAATTTCCCTGCTTTCTCACCAAAACCTAATATTAAGTAAGTTGAATAACTTGGCAAACCATTAAGTTTGTTTTTAAAACTTTTAACAGACTCCGCCTGTCCAAAAGTGGACCCGTAAATAACAACCCCGTGTACTTTTAATCATATTTAATTTGTTTTAAATTCCAGGAGCAACTGCAATTACTAGTGTTACAGCCTTTACTGTTTACTAGCTGTGTCTTTTATCGCCAGGAGATTGAAATACTCTCAAGGGAAGTTGCCTTCCAGTAACGCATTATTCCTATGCATCTTATACAGAGGAGAGAGGGAAAGGAAAGTCCTAAAGATACGCTGGCAAAACCTCTGCAACTGTAAAATTTACTCAAGGCTCAGACAAAAAAGGATTTTTTAAAAACACCTCTCTAAGGAGATCCTATTATTTGTTGATAGTACTTAGGGATTTGATAGATAAACTATACATGATAAGCAAAATTAAAAGTAAAATGGGACAGATTTTTCACAGTTAACCAATTTTATAGGGTGTCCCAAAATTCAAATCTTGCATGAGCATTAACAACAACAGCAAAAAATAAAAGCCTAATTTTACTTGGTTTATTGAATCAGATTCTAATATCTGTTGCCCTTTGATTTCAATCCCTTCAATTTGATAAGCATTACCAAGTACCAATTATGGCCCAGGAGCAGGGACAATGAAGACCACGGCTTCGCATATGTGCCAGCAAAGCCGTGGAGGCCATTTACCCGATGTGCTATTCCATACATAACCCTATACTGTAAACTTTATGAATCAATAAAAAATTTACGATTTTTAATTATAAACCTGTGTTTTCTATCAAAATTACTTCTTGTGTGAATTTTGGGTCACCCTATAGGAATCCAGGAACATATATAAAAGTCATATTTGCGTCTTCACTGTTAAGTATATATAACCATGATTGTAAAAACACCAAAGCAAGACTTAGGCATAGAATGCCAAGTGTCTCCTAATACTTGCTATCCTCTGCTCCTTTCTAGTTATAGAATCTCCTGGGTTTGAACTGGGCATGTGTCTGCCCAGTTAGAGGCTAAAATCTCAGCCTTTCTTGTAGCTAAGTGTGACCAATTGATGAACTCTTTTCCAATGAGACGTGAGCATTGGACGTGATGTGTGGACCTTCCTGGTCACATCCTTTAAAAATATATATATATATAATTGATTTTAGAGAGGAAGGGAAAGGGAGAGAGAGAGAAACATCAATGATGAGAATCATTGATTGGCTGCCTTCTGCACGCCCCTACTGAGGATCGAGCCCACAACCCAGGCATGTGCCCTTGACCAGAATCAAACCTGGGACCCTTCAATCCTATCCACTGAGTCAAACCTAGGGCTGTAAACCTAAGGCTAGGGCTGGTCACATCCTTTATAAAGGAAACTACTTGCCCTCTTCTCTCTCCCTTCCAGACTAGCTGAAAGGTTTATGTGATGCTGGTGAAGCAGTTTGTACGATAGAGACGCTGACCAGCGGACAGCATAGCAATCTGAGTTCCTGGATGACCTTGTGGAATAGAATTGCCTACCAGCCCTGAAACACCCACCTGTTTCTGAATATTATCTGGAAGAGAAACAACTTTCTTTCTTGTATAAATGATTATATTTGGGATTTCTTTCTTGTAGCACCTGGGCTTGTACCATAACTAATAAAAGGGTTTGGCATTATCGTCACTATCGTTTGTACTGTGTTCAAACTTTTTGACTATCTTTTTAAAAGACATAGGAACTTTAGTTTTTAAGTTAGCAGGAAGGCTTTTATGGCTACTGGCTTAGGGGGATTGTTAGCATTAAACGATACAATACGGTGTTTATGAAACCTCTGTAAACTTAAAAAGGTTTCAAACAAGTCATTATGTTAATAGCAAGCTAACACAGTGGTTCTCAACCTGTGGGTCGCGACCCCTTTGGCGGTCAAACGACCCTTTCCCAGGGGTCGCCTAAGACCATCCTGCATATCAGATATTTACATTACGATTCATCACCGTAACAACATTACAGTTATGAAGTAGCAACGAAAATAATTTTATGGTTGGGTCACAACATGAGGAACTGTATTTAAAGGGCCAGAAGGTTGAGAACCACTGAGCTAACAATCCATGATAGCAGTGGGGTTAATGGTTTTTCTGCAAACATTTTAGC